GAGAGACGTCGAGGTAAGGATGAACACGAGTTTATGAAACACAAGGATATCAAGCCAGAGATAAGGAACGAGTCTCTTATTCGTTCCCGCGGTAATGGCAGAATGTGAGGATTTGAATAACTCACTTGAATAAAAACATGCAGTCAAACGAGCAGTGGCCTACCGGTGGCCAGATACTCGGCGAATTCGCCCTTAGTAACGGTAGTGCGGGAAAGAGTGTGGTGCCGTATGTACAGAGAGGGTCAGAAAGAGTCCGAGAGAGACGGCAACGGCAGGGAGAGAGAGCGTCGTAGTGCCGTGTACAAAAGGAAGTAACAGAACAGCACCGAACTTCTGATCCTGCTGTGGTGCGGTGCGCAGAGGGCTAAAGGTGCTACGGTAAAACCGTCGACTTTGAACCCGGTAAACGGGGGTCTATATAAGCAAGCCGGGCGCAGGAAGTTGGATCAGTCGCCTTTTACCAGTCAACAAGTACCAGTCATCAAATGAAGCTGTAATCAGTGAGACAACGTGAAGAACCAAGAGCCGTGCGGAGTCGATACGTTCGTGACTTAGAGTTTTAAGTCTCGGAATTGAGGCACAGGTAGCTGAGGTCCTTAAGGCATCACACGGCTGAGTCTTGATTTGAGCTTGGCGTATTGCCTGGCGTGTCAGGCAGAGTTACACAAAAAGAGTCCTTTGACAAGGAACCGTGGGCTCGGAAGGGAAGTCGTCTAGAACTAGTCAGGAAAGACCTAAGCAGGCGTTCGGTGTGACCAGCTGGGACAGAGCAAAGGACAGGAGGCTGCGGGTGCCTTTAAGCACAGAACCTGTTCACTCTAGTTTGGGAACGGTGACGCATCCCTAATACCTGATAGCCGCCGAGCCAACGGCAGTAGAAGCAACCACGTGCATCCCGAGCGGAACCCAAGGCAGCAAACCAGAGCGAGTTGATCGACGCCGGAGCCACCCGGAGCATCATCGTGGGAAGAAGAGTGCTCAGACGGGGCCGGCGAAGAAGGCTATAGAGTTACTATCAGCCCCAGGCGGAAGGTCACGTCGGCGAATAAAGATCCTTGTGTATACCCTAACCTTCTGTGCGTTCTTACTAGTCAATTGGACGGTCACGTTTATATAAATTTGGTGGGACGAACACATACATCTTCAGAGCTAGCCGCACGATATTCGTAGCGAGCAGAAAGTAACAAAATCGGTTCGTTACAACAGGTCCTTTAGCTTCTGACGAGTCATCAACGATCTGGCGTTGTCCTGGTGGAACACTACACCCTGTTGGCCAATTCTGGTAGCAGCTCATAGTGGACGAAACCTTCCTGGCCGTCAATCCCGGCTTGGCCACCGTTTGGGACGACTAACCGTTTTCGCTTGATATTGTCGTAAGTGATCCATTTTTCGTCGCCAGGGACCATTCGCTTCCAGAATAGGTAGAGGTTGTTCCGTTTCAGCAGCATATCGCAGGCGTTGATTCGATTTTTTCGTTAAATCATCCGGCACCCAAACACCAATCATTTTTTTTTTGTATACAGCCTTCTGCGGGTGGGTTGGTGAGTAACTCTTAGCTCTTGGGCGATCCTTTTCACGGACTCAGATGCGTCGAAATCATTCTTTCGCGGTTCGAAGTGATAGAGTATCATCCCCCAAAAAACCGTTAATCTCACGGATCTTTTATTTAGCGGATTTGCCTATAACAAAGGAAAACTTTAAAATGCATAGCTTCGTTTTGTAGGTTATGTCAAGACCTTTTATAGTACTGCCAAATATATATGTAGCGCTCTGTACATAGCCCCGAAATTCAAAAGACAGAAAGGAAAAAGATATTTGACAACCTTATATTAATTTGTTAAGACGTTTTTCTTATGCTTTTTTCGTTTCGTTTAACTTTTTTCGTTTAATTTTTTTTCGTTTTTTGTTGGTATTAAATAGATATATATTTTTATACTCTTGCAGAGGGTATTATAATTTCAGTCAGAAGTTTGCAACGCGGTGAAGGACGTTTCCGACCCTATACAGTATATATATATTCTTGATCATCATCACTAGTAGAGTCGATCTAGCCATGTCCGTCTGTCCGCCCATCTGTCCGTACGTCTGTCCGTCCGTTTCTACGCAAACTAGTTCCTCAGTTTTAAAGCGATCTGCATGAAACTTTCCCAAAAGTTGTCTTTCTATTGCAGGTAGTAGTAGTATAGCATATAGCTCCCATAGGAGCAATCGGAAAAATAAATGAAAAAAATGATAACTTTTTTGTATTTTATTTATTTTTATATTTGCAATAGCTGCAAGGGTATATGAACTTCGGCTTGCCGAAGTTTGCTTCCTTTCTTGTTGTTAATATTATATATTTGTTTAGTAATATAGAAAAACACTAATGGGTGAAATAATAAACGCACGCAGTGTAGGGGAGCTTAGTGTCGAGAATTCTTTTTTTTTTATTTAAGGGTTAAAAAAAGTTTTGCTGGATTTTTTTTTAATTTTCACTTATTCATAAAATTGGTTACAATTATCCGATTTGAATCAAATGTTCGCCGTTTTGTTGGATGACTAGTTCCCAACGAGATGCCAATTTCATAATGAGCTTGCTTCCCTATTGGCAACTAGGAGAGTCACTTTTCACAGACCTCTTTTGTGACCAATTTCTTACTACCCAGCTCGCTCGCCATGGACAGAAAAACTGGTGATGTCCTGACTATATGGTGTATGGAAAGGAACCTCCCGTTCGAGCTCCCGAAGCTTTTGGCGCGACACCAAAGATGTGTGTGGCCTGTCGTTGTGCTGATGCAATAAAATTCGTCCTCTGATGATCAAAGATGGCCTCTTCTGCATGAGTGCTGCCTTTAAGCGGACTAGTTTTGGACAGTACATGTCCGAATTGAGCGTTTGGGTATAAGGGAGCAGCTGATGATTCCCTGCCCATCCACGGTCTAGGCCGCTTCACCGCGCTTCGCCCTCGACCGTTTGCGCTTCACGTTATCGTAAGTAACCCACTTTTCATGGTCAATCACAATCCGCTACAGAAACGTAGATTTTGTTGCGATTCAGCAGCGATTAACATGCGTCAAAGCAGCAAAAATATTTCCTTTTTGTCAACCCAAGCTTCTTCAAATGGTTTATAACGGCCGATGGTATGGCTGCTACTATGCCGGTGTCTCTCGACCAAATCAGCGATATTTTCGCAATTTTCGACGACGGCCAAATTCTCAAATTCGGTCACCTCTACACCAGAACGAAAAAATGAAATCATTGTTGATCGGTGGAAATTAAAGCTGCACGAATTTTATTGGAGGCTTAAAATGCATTTTTGCCTTTGTCGTAGTAGCTCTGTATAATAAATTTTGTCTTGTTTGTCCATGTTTGCGACTCTAGAACATACTGAACCAAACAACAATTTTTTCAACAAGCACGACACGATGCGATGAATACAACTAGAACTATGCGCTTGCAACGACCCCTATCGAAAGTACCGCAACACTTTTTTCACACTGCAGTTTTATGGCACACGCCAAAACTTAAGAGTACCAAAAATTAAGCGGTTAAGGAAGCCAACAATTGTACTGCTCCAACGAAACGAGCAAAGATAACTCCGAATCGCAACAGCGGTGTCGGTTACGTTTATAGCTAGCGGCTCAACTCCTAGGCATATAACTAAAGGCAACAAATATTCTAGCCTGATGCTGATGGGCGCGGGAAAATCATTAGACAATCTGCGGCTTTTTGGCTTTTTGGCACGATTTCCTGGAAACTTTTTTCTGCCTTTTTTTCCCAAACTCTAAATTGGTGTTCGCTTCGACAAAAATGGCAAAAATTATGTTTGCACTAACACCAAAGAATAAATTTTTTGAGATTTAATGGTCCAAAGCGATTCACTTATAATTCAAAATATATTTGTGTTTGTTTCAGAACTTTAATTGTTAGTACATGCAATTTTATTTTCTTGAATAAATTGCTCACTATTTAATTATTTAGGAAAATACGAGAGAAATATTTTAGTATTCAAGTATGTGTCCAGGTACTAATAAAAAATTTAGTTTTTCCGAATAAGTTGACACAAAATATGGAGTGTTAAAGAGTCAAGGCAACTTCGTAAAGGTATCAGGTCTGGGAAAAACAATAATAAGGGATGTGAGCCATTTGAAGAAAACTCCAGAGGCCAGTACAAAGATGGACGCCCCGGACACAGCATTGACAGCCATGGATTCAGAGATGCCACGTCAGCATTATTTGCCTGAGACCAACGTGGAAACCGGTCCGACAGAGCACTAAGAGAGGATCCTAATCAAACATGGAGGGCGGCGATGTTTAGCCCTCAGATGCTGATAATGACCAAGAATACTAATTTGTGAACGATTGCCAAGGTGGTTATTAATTGAAAATAAACTAAATAAAACATTGAGTTGAACTATTCTGATTGTGTGTATTAAATTAGCTGAATTTTGAACATTTTTGTGTGTACCGATAGATTTGACCGAAACACACGCACGATAACTAAGGTCTAAGTGCGAATAGCGTGGTCTGAAACTATTAATCATCGAATACTCTACGAGTTACATTTATAAAAATAGTAAAAGTAAAAATGTAGAATCATAAAGGTTCAATAAGCTAAAAATTAAAAAAAAAAGGTTTTTTAATTCTAAAAAGCAACCGCCGTTTTAATCGAATGAGCCGTTTTAAAACACAGCTTCGACCAATTTTAAAAACATCGTTTCGCGTGCTGCGAACGTATAGCCATGAGTCTACCAATCGGCCAATATCTTTGAAAAGATGCTACTTGCGGTCAAGCTGTCAGTCGATAGATATTTTCAGAACAAACTTTATACTTTATAACTGGCCTCTACCATGTCTCAGAGTGGGCGTAGCCAAATTTTGAAATAAACTTGAGCTGTGTAAGCATGCCCAAAATCTGCATGATAAATCAATAGCATCATAAATATTTTAGGGAATTATCTCAAAGGTTTATAATTCTAAGCTATTTTACATTTGTTTTGTTGATATTCAAAAGTGTGTACCTGAGGATGACTCAAGTTGACGTTCACTCGGCTGAGCATTGCCAAGACAAATGCGGCTGTTTTGCCCGTTCCAGATTGACTTTGTGCAATCATATTTTGAGGGGGATCCGCAAGTAGAGTTGGCAAAGCGGTCTCCTGAATTTTTGATGGGGTGTTAAATCCCATTGCGTAAATTCCCTTTAGCAGTTCCGCCTTTCTACACCAATAAATTAAACCATTTAGTCAGTGCAGACAGTTAGTTAAATATTTTACTTACAGGTGCAGTGCTTCAAATGTTTTAACAGAATGTAGGGGAGAATTCGGATTCTTTTGCTGAATGTCGAGCGATAACTTTGTGTTCACCAGTCCTTTTCCTAGTATTTTAATAAGAAGACTTGTTTCTGCTGGACTGAAATATTTAATAAAATACAAACATTAAATATAATTATTATTAGACCTAGAGCTGGTGAAATATATGTATTATGGTGTATGGTGCTTTATATGTACTGAATTTGTTACTTGGCTGAAAGAAACTGTGGCATTTTAATCCCTTGCAGGGGTTATTAGGGGTTATAAAGAATTTATATTCTTGATCAGCATTATTAAAAGAGTCGATCTAACCATGTCCTATGTTTCCCATGTTTCTATCCAAACTTGTCCCTCAGTTTTAAAGCTATCTGCATGAAAATTTTCCTAAAGTGGTCTTTAAATTACAGGTTGTTGCAAGACCGGATGCACCGGGCACGAAGCGCAAAGTCAGCGGTCCCACGCTAGTCACGCTGACCAAGGCTAGCATTCTGCCCATAACGCTGCCGTCAATTTTGCTCATCGCTGCCGACGTCGGGTCTTCTGCCCGTCTTTCTTAAAGAATATTTAGGTTAGCATTACTCAGTTCTTAACAGACTCGAAAAAAATCCAAACGGATTCCGGTATATTATTAATTTTAATAAACGGGAGTAATTCCAAAAATAATGTTATATGTATCCAAACTGATTATGTCAATCATAGAACGGGATGATTCCGATAAATAAGGAATATAATTATTAATGGGAAAATAGTCTTGACTTTACTGGCGCCCAACCGAGTTAAAGCGAAAGAAACAAATATCCAAAAAATAAATCTTTACAAAACTTTATCAGAAACCGAGAATAATTCAAAAAGTGCAATTTACGAAAGTCATTTTTTTTGTTTTACAAAAAAAGTTTAAACATCAAATTCTGGAGACTACAAATCAGAAACTTTTGCGAGAATAATTCGAAAAATTGCAATTAACGAAAGATCATTTTTTTTGTGTGAACAAAAAGTTTTAACAAAAGTAATTTAACAACAAAAAATTCTGCAGACTAGCTTTATAAAGCGGATTAAAAACCTTAAAACCTTTAAACAAAAGTTATTTAAAAACAACCTTCTGGAGAATAGTTGTAGGGGAGGGCCAACGCTATTTATACCTTTTTTAAGAAAACAGGACTTGGTGGATGGGCAAATCGTATCCTTAAGAATGAAAATTAGAATGGACATTTCTTGAAATCATTTAAAAATATTACGACTTTCCTTGAGAAAAAAAATGTTATAAAAATATTCAGATTACTTAAAAAATCAGTTTTATTGAGAGAGAATATAACATTTTTGCTTATCAATTAAATACACAAACAAATATAAAAATAAATTCTATTTGCTTTTTTTTAAATTGAGAATTATATTTTAATATTTTTAGTATGCAAAAATGTATATTGAGAGAGAATACAACATTTTTGCTTATCAATTAAATACAAAAATAAATTCTATTTGTCTTTTTTGTAAATTGAGAATTGTATTTATTTATTTTTTTATGTCAAATTGTGAGAAAAAACCAATATTTTCGCAGTGGAGAGATAAGAAATCAGATACTGTTATCAGCGAGGGAGTTGCATTAGAAACAGAAACCACTGAAAAAAAATACAATATATGAATCAGATGAGGAGCTATTAAAAGTCTACAAGAAGCCTAATATCATAAAACGTACAGAGTCAGAAGAGCATAAAATGTCGCCCGATCAATGGAAACGGATGCTGGAGGTAGGTGTACAGACAGCACCAAACCAAAAATCTCAGGTATTTGAAACAAATATTCTCGCGGTGGAGAGATAGAAAATCAGATCCAGATAACAGCGAGGAAAAGGGACTTGCATTAAAAACAGAAACCACAGAAAAAAGATATTAAAAGAATTAGATGAGGAGCTATTAAGGCCTACAAGAAGTTTATTGTCACAAAAGATACAGAGTCAGAAGAGCATAAAATGTTGACCGATCAATGAAAACAGATGTTTGAGGTAGCTGTACAGACAGCACTTTATCAACAAGCCCAGTTATTCGAAACAAAAATTAAAGAACTCTCTGAACAGATAAATCTATTAAAAGTCACTCCACCCATAGTAGAAGTGTATGAACAAATCTCTATAATAGAAGGAATAAAATGCGATGAACCTTTAGACATCGTAAAATCTTTGCCGGAATTTGACGGCAAGCAGGAACAATATAGTTCGTGGCGTCATATGAAGTATTCAAACCTTTTGGAGGTAGTTCAAAACACTATCAAGCCGTATCTATTATAAGGCACAAAATAAGAGGATCGGCAGACGATGTCCTAGCACTTGCACTTAACACTGTTTTAAATTGTAAGACTATCATAGCCTGAATAGACTTTAACTACGCGGATTAGACGGCCATACAGGTGATTCAACAAGAACTTAACCTTATGCGACAAAGTATTATAATGAAATCGAAAAAAAAAACTAATTTTGCTAACAGACAAAACGCTGATGTCTCATGCTGCATACTGCAGCTGCAACAGTGCTGAACGAAAAATATAGGAGCGACGCACTGCACTTTCAGAGCTTAAAAACCCTCTAAAATGGAAGTTTTTCCAACAAAACCAAAGGATCGGCCCAGTACCCTTGCATTGGCACAAGAGGCTCAGTCTAGCCATGAACGCAGTGTATTTGCAGCCACATTTGTATTTTCACCCCAAAAAAAAAACTAATTGCCGGGAAAGCCAAAATTTTAAACAACATTATTTTAACCCAGAAAACGATAACTTCAGACAGTCAAACTTTTCACAAAAAAAATCAGGGTCAATCGGTACCAGAACCAATGGAAGTTGATCCTTCCTCACGGTCCCTGCAGACGACAAATTCCTATGAAGGATATAAAGGAAGAGACTAAAGATAAATATCACAACTCTGGAACAGGAATACACCGATGATTATGAGAGACATGCTCCAGACAATACGGGGAAACCGAAAATGATTTACTACCAACCGAAGACTTTAATTTTTTAGATTCGACATTTAATAGATACAGGTGCATCGAAAAATTACATAAAACCTTTGCCAGGTCTGCCTCACATAAAAAACGTGGAGACAACTTTTAGGGTCCCATCCTTTTATGGCTCCACAAAAATGGGGGAAAAAATGTAAAACAAACATTTTTAACGAAAATTCGTATGTTTTTATTTTCGAAAACCTTAAAGAATTCGACGGTATAGTTGGTCTCTAGATCATTTAAAGAAAGTAAATGTCCGAATTGACCTTAGCACCGGTAGGATCGAACATAATTCAGGATCGGAAGTTTGCAATTAGCTAAATACAAAGACGTGAATTTTATCACTTTAAACAAAATAAATCCTACATTTATAAAAATTCTGCTGCCAAAAATCCTGCCATACATAACCTATACCTTTAATACTGCACTGACAAAATCTACTTATCCGGACTGTTGGAAAACGGCAAAAATAATTCCGATTCCTAAATCAAATAATGAGTACAGACCCATTTCCTTTTTACCATACCTATCAAAGGTATTTGAGAATCTCATGGCTGATCAAATTAATAAATTTGTGTCCGACAATGCAATGCTTACTAATAATCAGTCTGGTTTTAGGAAAAACAGAAGATGTACCTCAGCTATTTTAAAAATCGCAGACGACATAAGGGAGCAAATAGATATGAACACGTCTAAATATAAGTAAAATATGAGCAGCCACTTGACCTCCTGTGTTTAAGCTATAAGTGCTATCAGGGTAGTTGTGATCTCCCTTATCGCACTTAAGAATGTTTTCTCAGTTTAGGGATAAACAAGTCACTCTGTGGGTTATTAGAAATAAGATAATGACTTCAAATATAAGATTTTATGAGTTTTGTGCATGCCACTTGTCAATGGAGCCAGAGTCATAAATTACGATCTGTTACTTAAAATCCAAGGGAACATTTGTTTGCACTTGTAATCTGTACGTGCAGGCCACTTGAGCCTCTAAATAGTATCACTTGAAATGTTTCCCACACAACACAAAGGACTTGGGCGGGGGTCAAAATATAGCTCTCCCGCTCAGGGCAAAACAGATGCGGTCTCTGCGTAGGCCATAGATAAGAATAGAGTACGAAACACACCAATGTTACTTGCTAAGAAGCGTATTGAAATAAAAACAGTTTGAAATGATAACTCGACAAATGTAGACATTCATTAGATCGCTCTAACACTCTTAGTTTTACTGGACTATAGTAAGGCCTTCAAAACAGTAAACCATAATGTGTGTATAGATGTTAGTAACAGAGAACTTGCTCGTGTAAATGAGTGGGCCGGCAACAATGGACTTGGGATCAAACAATCAAAATCAAAATGGCTTGCCATAAGTATAAGACAGATAGTTTTTAATAATTTACAGCCACTGAGTATAAATACGCCACTTGAGTGTGTTGAAACAGTTGTAAACTTAGGTTTAAGATTCAACAGAACTCTTACCTGGAATGATCATATTACAAAATCTTTAGGGAAAACATATGGCATAATAAGAACGTTATCCGTAACTTAAAATTGCCTGCCTCCCCAAATAATAATAGCTAAACCCTGCATTATTTCAGCGCTACTTTATGGATTAGATTTTTTTTAAACTGTGACACTATAAGTAAAAACAAAATTGAAGTATTATTAAATTGCAGGAATATATTCAACCTACCACATAGAAATCATGTATCCGAATTTTCACAGAAAATATTCGATGTCTTACTAAATGAATGAATATAGATGCAAATCTTAATTTTTCTGCAAAAAAATTCCAAAACGAACCTTTTTATCTTTTCGAAAAACTGAATTTTACTTCCTCTAGAAGAACAAGCCTAGATCACTGACATCCGAAAGACAATTTTTTTATTAATGCTATTTGATCATGAAATCAACTGTCCAACCATCTTAAAAAAACAAATTATTTATACACCTTAAAAATACTATTACGTAAATTAAAGTATAAATAGATGGCGACCTAGTTATGTTTTGTTTTTTTAAATTAGTGTTAAGTATCATTTAACATTTAAACATTTGCAACGCTTAGTGACTAGCGCATTAACTTATAGGTTCCAAACTTGTAGCGTTAGGATGA